ACAATATTATATATATATATATATATATATATATATATATATATATATATATATATATATATATATATATATATATATATATATATATATATGTTATATAAGATTTAAATTAACACTCATGCACGTACATACATATTGTATATACTACATTTACACTCATTTGCATACACATACAAAAACATGCACTTTTAAAAGGTTATGAAATATACATACATACAGACATACACTCACACGTACAGTATATACATATATCTGTTGTCCAATAGGATGAAACAAAAAGAGATTCTTTATGGATTTCATTTTTTTTTACATTCCATTGGTTGGGGCGTGGCCAGTGAAGACTAGTATACACAGAGATAGATGACTGTGGGAGAGTGATCGTGGTAAAGTGAGTGAGAGTAACTGTAGGAGAGTAAAGAATGACTGAGGGAGTGAGCGGAGAGTGACTGTGAGAGAGTGACGCAGGAGAGAGGACTTGCAATAGGGGAAGGAGAGCGACTATGGGAGAGTGACACAGGAGAGAAAGAAGAGTGACTGTGAGAGTGAGGGAGGGTGACAGGAGAGTGACTATAGGGGAGTAAGGAAGAGAGACTGGTGGAAGTGAGAATGGAAGTGAGTGACAGATCAGATACACAGACGACGTAGATCATGACAGTAGCCTCCATCATTGTCTGGCCCCGACGAACGGTAAAAAACAATGACCCCAAAAAATTACACAAAATTGAGAAATAAAAAATCAAAGTAAAAAAAATAACTTGAACTAGTGAAATGTTTCTCTCTACTTACAGCTCAAAAAATACTTTACAAACTGAGGATCATAAAAGCCGTATGAAAATTTTATGACGCTTCAGTCAACACTTCCAGTTTCACAGGTTCAAAAATCCACAAGCCATTTTTGTCGCCGGATCCAAGAACCAGACTTAGTTCATGGTGCCTGTGTCGCGCTGGTCACGGATCACTTGCCTTGTGATTGACCTGCCTGTGGTTGACCTGCCTGATTCACCGTCTGGCATGAGCCTTTGTGTCACGTCATGACCCCCAGCTGAACCATGTGTTTGAACCTGTGAAAAATGATCATAAGATCAAACTAAACTTGATCATACGATTAGTTTTTCATTATACATTAAAATGCATTAAATTTGCTAAAGACATCAAAACATAATTAAGGTGGTGTTACTCAACAACCAATAAAATTAAGGTATGTTTATGCTTAGCAATATTCACTAGCAATATTCTTATGATGTGTACTCTTCACTAGTTATACCAGGCTGTAGATGTTATGAGAACGTGTTCAGTTGAAGTTATTTACAGTAAGATACCTTCAAACTTTACTAAATATATCAAATTATCGTATACCAGCGTATTCTGACCCCGGGCGGCTCTTTCCAGGCCACGGTAGGACGCCTCCGGGAGGCTCCACATTGTCTCACTGTGCATTAAGGTGTCCGCTTTGATCCTGACTTTGTACTCGCCAGAAGGCATGTTTTCCAGGCATTTTAAATGACTGTACATACGTGTTGCGCCCATGCAGCATTTCTTGTTAGATAGGACAATGTCATGTCTGACGCCTTGAATGTTGCCACACCTGATAGTAGTCTGCTTTCATGATCTCCCATGAAGTAGATTTGGAGAACTTTGCCTGCTCATCTTCTCCAGTGGTAAGAGGGATCTGGCCAGGATAGACTTGACCCTGGACTTTGAATGTTGGTATGTATCCGTGCTCACGAACTACTCGTAACTCCAAAGGATGTCATCTGGGAACATGAATTGTACTTCAGTATATTTTCCAAGAAGTTTTTGACTCTGTTGTTGTTCCCAGCATGAGAGTCTTTAATGGTGTGGTGTTTTTTCCAATCCCAATGTACTTTCCCATGAGAGCAGCACAGTCCAGCAGATTCTCCTTTGTACTCTCTTTGCACTGTAGTATTCACATTTCTATCCATGCTGCCAATGACAACAGAGGATACTTTCATATTCTATATATATAACATCAGCCATCATCACTACATATAACACCATCCATCATCACTACAGATCGGTAAAGTATTCGAGATTCTCAAGTGGACACACAGACAAACAGACAGACTTCTTTGTTTTATATAGATATAGATCATCACATATAACACCACCCATCATCACATACATATAACATCATCCATCATCACTACATATAACATCATCCATCATCACTACATATAACATCATCCATCATCATACATATAACATCACCCATCATCACTACATATAACATCATCCATCATCACTACATATAACATCATCCATCATCACACATATAACACCACCCATCATCACTACATATAACATCATCCATCATCACTACATATAACATCATCCATCATCACTACATATAACACCACCATCATCACTACATATAACAACATCCATCATCACTACATATAACATCATATATATATATATATATATATATATATATATATATATATATATATATATATATATATATATATATATATATGCAAGTAAATCACTGTAGGCGATCTAGGTATATGTGATAATACTTTGTGTAATTATCACAGTGAGTACGACTAGTCTGTACTCACCCTGAAGATGGAATTACACGAAAGCTGAACTTCTGTGTTTTCCTATATATATATATATATATATATATATATATATATATATATATATATATATATATATATATATATATATATATATATATATATATATATATACATTTCATTTTTATTCCATTTTTAGTCCATATAACACGCGGACTTTCAACATATAATCAACAACCTCACCAGCCAGGACTCGAACCCTCGACCTACTGCGTGGGACCAGGGAACCGATGGTATTTTTATTGATGTCATTATTACTGCTATTGGAATTTTTTTCACTCCTGTATTTTATTTATTGTTTTGAAGAATTAGACTTGAAAAAGAAACGATATAAAATATTGCTAAAGTCTGGTTAGCTAAGGTAGTGATTTTCACTTTACGCCAATGAATCCAAATAAAGTCTCAGAAGAAGGTGAGAAAATTAAGGAAATTGAACTGTACAATCAAATTTTATTCTTTCAATTAGTTTAATGCACAAGGAATAGAACATGTGGACTTACATATACTGTGCAGGTACAGATACAGGGACAAGTATAGATACATAAATTTCAATATAATAACAAAACACAAATGATATATACGCCCCATCATCTTGTCATCTTGTAAACATAGAAAGTGAAGATACACACCAGATTTATTATCTAAAAGGACCATATAATCTGGTTAAAATGTTCAAATACAGGAGCAAACTTGGCTCATTGTTGACATATTGATTAATTCTGAAAAAAACACCATATCCATAACCCGGAAATAAACATTCTAAAAACTATAATTTATAAGACCCTGATACACTTATCCTTCTATTTTTATTAATGAAATATTGTTTGTTTTACAGAATATATCCGATCTGAATAACTCAAACACTCACACTCATCGTATTTGTACATGGAGTTTTCACCTGATCACAGACCCGAAGGATCACTGGTTCGTGATGTCGTGGCGAACGTTAGCAGCAATAGGTTGATTATATTAACTCATACTTGTAAAGCTCGGGTAGTGTGCTAGGTCACGTTGATGGTTCATCCCAACAATTATGTTCCATCCTCAGGGTGTTGCAAGTTACACCACTCATCTGCCAAACTAGATTAATCAGATGACCTGAAGTTGGTGGACCTTATGTGTCCCACAGGTTCAGAACAGCACCGCAGCACCAGTTATAGACTGAGATCTGGTTTCTAAAACCTAAATTAGTTGAGTTTCCCACGACTGGAGAGGTGACACACTTAAGTTGCCACATTAAGTTGCAGCACAAAGACAACTGATCAAGATTTCTTAAGCAAATGCTTTGAGAATAACGCAACTAAATGTGTTTTTTTGTTCACAGTTACGAGAAGAACAATTACAGTAACAGTCTAGTGTTGGATAATCCAGAATCATGATATTTGTAGGCGGGTTGGAATCGCATAAGCTGGAGTTTGGCAGAGCTATAATTATTGAAAGTGTGGTGACGACGGATTGTGATAAGGAATCGATGCTTCACACGAGGGTAATTTAAGCATTTTTTTGACAGTGAAAGACAGTGGTCTCGGGATAAAAGCGACGTAGTCTTCCCTGTCCAGGCATTTAATTAAGATACACCGTCGGGCGGCATATCTGTTTGTTTTACAAGCTTAGAAAATTTAACATTTATCTTAAAATTCAACAAATTGTAATAAATCTAAAAATTATTTTTTTTACTTCATTCACATAGTCAGCTAGACGAACAGAATCGCACTGGTGAGAAAATTTGGACTAACGATGAGTAAATTTGAATTGTTTACACAACAGTGAGTGAAATACTCTACAGTACATTTATTGATATATAATTTATTATACGCATACATCTAGGAGTAATTATAGTAAGCATTGTAGTCCAGGTATAGGTGGTGGCATTGGTGGTGCGTTAAGCCTGGCGGTTGAGGGGTTGGTCACCAACCTGCACCAGGATCACCAGGTAGGTCACCAGCAGGTTCACCACCTGTCAATACAATACACATGAGCCGCTGTATCTAACATATCAGGTGAATTTATCTACTGTATCGTGAATTAGTGAGGAATAATATTTTTTTCGATATTCATAATTTATTTTTACATTGTTTCTTTTATTCATATTTTTTATTGTTATTTTGGTCGAAGTAGAAGAAGGAGATGCAGGAGAATACACCTGAAATATTATGTTTGTTTGACCATTAGTCAGCAAAATTACATTTAGTGATAGTCAGAGAGAAAAGTATCACCTTAAGGTCAAAGATACATATATAAAGACATGAATGGAAAGAAAGAGAAAGGTGAAGTATCCCTCACGACTCACCCCCACCACGGTGCTGTAGTCCAGCCTGTACCATCCATAAAAATCGAATATCTGTAGTGGTTCCAGGAGGTGCAGCAAGTATCTCACCTGTCGGAGATATGACACAGATACTAAACCGGCCTGCAAATATAACACCGGTGTTTAACATGATTTAAGAGCCTAGGCACAGATGTTTCTCATTTACCATCTTAAGTATTGGTGATGTAGCACCTCAAATTATGTTGTAGCTATAATAAATTTTTAACTCCTTAGCCACCAGGTCGAGCAGGCTAATGTCTTGACCCAGGCAGTGTGTGTGTGTGTGTGTGTGTGTGTGTGTGTGTGTGTGTGTGTGTGTGTGTGTGTGTGTTCGCTAAAATGCGTCTAGTGTGGCAACATTACGTTAGTGTTAACTTGCAAGCACTGCTTGCTCCTTCTCGTTTCAGCTACCACTGCTGGCTGGCCCTCGTGGCGAGCAGGAAAACAACTTACATAAGTCTTCCCCTGTCAGTACACAGCCACTTCACCATCAAGACTCCTGCTGTGCTTCCTCGTGGCAACACACGGTAACTGGGTGCCTCGTGGGCCCAGGATAGACTAGCAGGGGATCGCGGAGTAGCAGTGGACCCCCAGAGGGATGGCGCCTAGGCCCACTGGCACGTGGACACGTCCTGGCGCCTATCAACCATTGCCCCACTGCCTTGTGGATTAGCCTTGGTAGGTATAAGGCTACGGGAGTAAACCCTGAACCACAAATTGGCGGTCAAGCCCCGCATCAGGCAGACATGCTTACAGAGCTCCAACAAGACCCCCAACGGTGGTATAGGCGGAAGAGGTGACCAACATGGGAACCCAACGACTACACCTGAGGATGAAGGCAATGCATGATGGACAGGTTACTAAGGCGAAACCCAACAAATTGGGTTATCGGCATTCCATTGCAACTCTCCCTCTCCCGAGTCGTTGCAAGATTTGCACCACTGAATCAGGAAAAGGGAGAGCCAAGATGTGTGGTTACAGTTTGTGTTCCTGCCTTTCCAAATAAATCAACTAGCACATAGCCATCATCCAGCTCATCATACCTCGCATCATCATCAAAACCCCTATACCCCCAAAAGTCCTATGGCGACGGACGAGTAGCGACGGGGACACGCAAAGATGACTGCTGGGAGTCTCTAGTCACAACTCAGCACATAGGTGGCATAGATAAGATGGTCGTTTATGCACTGGGATCTAGGCAGCAGGGCAATCCAGTCCTGTCTCTGCGACTGAGCAGCCCTTTTGAGGAGCCACTCTGCTCACCCCACATGGGGAGGGGACTAGAAAAGGTGCCCTAAGCATAGTCTGCCTAATAAAAAAAAACCTGACTGGGCAACCTCACCCAGTAAGGTCATCTTTATGCGGCCGAAACTATAATCAAATTCACAGATCCAAACAAAAACAAACTATCCAACTTCTTATGGTTGCTGCATGGAATGTCAGGACCCCTCTGGATACTGGCAAAAATGAGCATCCTGAAAGAAGAACTGCCCTTGTGGCAAAAGAGCTGGCTAGGTATAACATCGACATAGCAGCCTTTAGTGAGTCCTGGTTCTTGGACGAGAGTCAACTCACAGAAAGGGGTTCTGGCTATACCTTCTTCTGGAAGGGTAAGACTACTGCAGAGAAAAACCTCATCTATGGAGTTGGCTTTACCATCCGGCAACGCATGCTACACAGGGTAACTGAAATGCCTATTGGGATCAATGAGTGCTTCATGACGCCCCGAGTCCCACTGAATCATTCACGTCATGCCTCTTTCATCAGTGCATACGCCCCAACACTGGATGCAGAGGTTGACATCAAGGAGGCCTTTTACGGTTCTGCTCCTTGGTGACTTCAATACCAGAGTTGGCAGATATGCTGACATTTGACATGAAACAATAGGGAGAAATGAACTAGGTAAGGGTAATCCCAACAGCCTAATCTTCCTCAGCAAGTGTGCTGCACACAACCTCACTATCTCCAATACCTTGTTTAGACAGGCTGACAAGTTCAAAGGTTCATTGCAACACCCACGATCCAAACAGTGGCATCTCATTGACTATATCATTGTCAGAGAAAGAGATCACGGAGATGTCCTCGGCACCCGTATCATACGTGGCTCAGACCACAGTGACACTGATCATCGGCTTGTCAGAGCTAAGCTCTCACTTCACGTCGCCCCAAAACGGCGAAGGCAGCATGCCTGCAGAAGAGGTTTTAATACTAAGCGTCTGGAGGATCCAGAGGCAGTAAATGCTTTCAGAAAGCAGCTTGAACATGGGCTGATAAACAACCCAACAACAAACAACCCAAATCCCAGTGTCGAATGGGATATTCTCGACACTGTCATGTCAAAACCCTGCAGAGAGACCCTCGGCTAGATCGAAAGAATACACCAGGATTGGTTTGATGACAATGACCCGGCAATCAATGTACTCGTCGATGATAAACATGCTGCTTTAACTGACTGGCAGAACAACCCTCACTCTTGGACCAAAGCTGATACCTTCTACAAGAAGAAAGCGGCTGCCCAGTACTAACTTGCAAACTAAAAAACAACTGGTTTAAAAATAAAGCACATAAAACTCAAAACTTGCAGATCACCACAAGATGCTCGAATCTTTCAATTCCACTAAAACATTTAATGGGCGAATCACTCTTGGCACAGCCCCCTTCCACTCATCCGACGGTAACTCCCTAAATAAAGACGAGGAAGGGATCCATCAGCGCTGGAAAGCACAGGTCCCAAAGCATCTTGAGCTGACCCACCTCAGCTATCGTCCATCGCTGCAGTAGGTAGCAACTGCCATCAGAAGATGAAAGATAACAAAGCCTCAGAGCCTGATGGAATCCCAGCCGAGGTGTATAAAGCAGGAGAACCTCTGCTTACTAGCCGTCTCCACTATCCCCTGGAAAATATATGGGACAGGAAGGAAATCCCCTAAGCTCTTAAAGACGTCCTCCATCGTCAATATTTATAAAAATAAGAGAAACCAGCCAGACTATGGCAACTACCGCGGGATTTCGTTGCTGTCCGTAGCTGGCAATATTATCACCCGGGTCCTCCTGAACAGGCTTCTTCCTGAGGCGGAAAATTTCCTCCCAGAATCTCAATATGGCTTTAGACCAACACATGATCTTTGTTGCCCATCAGACATAGAAAAAGTGCAGAGAACAGTATTGCGACCTGTACATCGCCTTCATTGACCTAAACAAGGCCTTCGACTCAGTCAACAGGGAAGCCGTTTTGGCTGCCTGCCAAAATTCATCGCCATCGTTAGGCAATTCCAAGATGGCATGAACGGCAGTGTCCTGCACAATGGCACCCAATCTGAGTTCTTCCCCATCCAAACGGGGATAAAACGAGGATATGTACTGGCACCAACTCTCTTTTCCATTTTCTTGGCTGCCTTCCTTACTCATGCCAGTGCCAATTTAACCGGCTGGGTGGACATCGAGTACCGGATGAAGGAGCTTTTCCACATAAGACGACTTCAGCAGGAACAAAGGTGTCGGCAGCTTCCATTACTGGACTTCAGCAGGCAGACGACCTCACCCTTGTCACTCACACTGAATGCGCCCTACAGGAGAATCCTGAACACCTATGCAGATACATATGCACACTTCAGCCTTGAGGTGAATGTATGTAAGTCTCAATATCCCTTTCAGCCTGCCCCTGGTTCAGCCACACCTCCACCATCCATCCAGCTTAACTGTACTACCGTCTCTAATGTTACCCACTTTCAGTATCTCGGCTCCCACCTGTCCCCACACGCGGACATCGATGAAGAGATTCAACATCGGATTAGATATGCATCTCAAGCCTTTGCAGATTCCATACCCATGTCTTCAGCCGTAGGGAGCTAAAATTATCTACAAACTTGCACATATATCGAGCAGTGGTCCTCCCTGCCCTGCTATATGGCAGTGAGACGTGGGTCACATAAAGAAGGCACCTCAAGGCAGATGAAAACTTTCACAAACTTAATCAATGTTCCATCCTCCGAGTTTGCTGGGAAGACAAGAGAACAAATGTCATTATTCTCGTTGACACCAACTGTATTAGCATCGAGGCTACCATTATCTATGAACAACTATGTTGGATTGGCCATGTTTCCAGCATGGACGACAGTAGACTGCCTAAGAAGCCACATTACAGTCACCTAACGAACAGTAAACGTAACGCTGGCGAACAACTGAAAAGGTTTAAGGATGGTCTTAAGACAAACCTGAAAAAATGCCAAATCAACCCCCTCAGCTGGGAGACAATTATTCCATACTGCAATGCTTGGAGGAGCACCACAGGAGAAGGTGTCAATATTTTGAGTTAGCCCGACTGCAAACCTTGGCAGAGAAGCGCCAACTGTATCTCTTTGTTTACCCTGTAACTGGAGTTACAGTCTCTGATCAGTATACTCAAAACAAATATTTGTCAGCTGACCCCGTAAGCGAGACAGTATTCGAGGCCGTAACTTACAGGAACTCATTAACTGCTGTAACATGCTCAACTCAGATATAGTAAGTCGCTATTTCCCTATTGGATAAAAATATTAATATATGCTGTAATAAAGTTTGTTAGACTTGTTTTATCATCGAAAAAAGAAGAAAATGTTAAGGTTAAGTAAAGATTTGGTTAAATAAAGGTTTGGTTAGGTAAAGGTTAAGTTAGGTAAAGATTAGGTTAGGTAAAAGTTAGGTAAAGGTCAGGTTAGGTAAAGGTTAGGTTAGGTAAGGTTAGGTAAGGTTAGGCTAGGTTAGGTAAAGTTTGGTAAGGTAAAAAATGTGATGCCACTGTTATGCAGTTTTACAACCTTTCTCTCTATCTCTCTCTTCAGAGTTTTACACAGTAAAAAGGATTGTTAAAGTCATCTCATATGAAACAGTTATGGCAACTGGAATTAAAGCTGAATAATTTATCTCCACAGTCTACTGTACCTGAGCCTTGACGAAATAGTTTGACGATTGGCAACTAAATTTCTTCAACATTCCGGCCGCCTTGTCGACCTGTTGGTTATAGAAGAAATCTTTCTCAGGAGATTTGTGTGTCAGAATTATATTACTGAGGACACCAAAAACATGACAGTATTAAGTGGGTGTATTAGACCATGTCTAACAGACAGTGGGCTACATGCATTAGTTTTATATAATTACAGCACTCACGATAATTAAACTATGAGCAAGTGTCTAGTAAATAGAGCCTTAGTAATACTGGTGCAAGTGACGTCTAGGTCACGTAATCTTTCAAATGACCGCTGCACATCACTGCCCAGCTGAAGTCAGCAATAACTAGCTGGTGACACCAGTCAACCCAGGTATCTCGGACACACCACAGGTGTGTTAACGAAGCTCGCTACAACTCGCCTTAAGCTATACTAACAGTCATTGCTCATAGTGTTAATTAAGGTGATGTCATACGTTAATTGTGCATAGACTATGTTAACAATAAAAAGAGAAAAGACAATTTGGGTTTGAAGCCTTTACCTAAAAACAATTATTTGTGTACTTATGTGTGACCAAGCTACTATGTGTTCTAGGAAGTATTTGACGAGGTACATAGAGGTACATGAAAACCACAACCGAGATATTCTGGGAAAAATCATTTGTTAACAAGTATAGAAAAATATATACAAATGGCAAGTTTATATATTTGTAATTATTTTTATTTGATAGTTTCCAAATTACAACTAAAAATATAAAGATTGTGAAGCAAGAAATAAACGTAACCTAACCTAACCTAACCCGACCCAACTTGCTCAACCCGACCCCCAAATTAGTGATACAGCATTTAATCATCAGGTGAAATAAACTGGGGTCCTTTATCTTCACATGATCCAAGTAAGTATCCACAAAGGCAGATTTTGTTTTTAAACTCACCTGTAATAAAAGACAGGAGAAGGACAGTGATTAATCTACATAATGAATAGTTACCATCATCACTAAAATATACTAACGGCCACACCTCTTACTCCCACCAGGATGTTATAAGATAAATGAATATCCGGGATTAAATTCATCGTGCGTTATAGTGACAAGTACACCCCTGCCTTATAAAGGCAGGAACACCCCTGCCTTATAATGGTAGGAACACCCCTGTCTTATAATGGCAGGAACACCCCTGCCCTATAAAGGCAGGAACACCCCTGCCCTATAAAGGCAGGAACACTCCTGCCATATAATGGTAGGAACACCCCTGCCCTATAAAGGCAGGAACACCCCTGCCCTATAAAGGCAGGAACACCCCTGCCCTATAAAGGCAGGGACACCCCTGCCCTATAAAGGCAGGAACACCCCTGCCTTATAATGGTAGGAACACCCCTGCCTTATAAGGGCAGGAACACTCCTGCCTTTTAAAGGCAGGAACACCACTGCCTTATAATTGCAGGAACACCCCTGCCCTAAAAAGGCAGGAACACCCCTGTCTTATAATGGCAGGAACACCCCTGCCTTATAATTGAAGGAACACCCGTGCCCTATAAAGGCAGGAACACCCCTGTCTTATAATGGCAGGAACACCCCTGCCTTATAATTGAAGGAACACCCCTGCCTTATAATGGTAGGAACACCCCTGTCATATAATGGCAGGAACACCCATAATGGCAGGAACACCCCTGCCGTATAATGGTAGGAACACCCTGCCTTATAATGGCAGGAATATCCATGCCTTATAAAGGCAGGAACACCACTGCCTTATAATTGCAGGAACACCCTGCTGTATAATGGTAGGAACACCCCTGCCTTATAATGGCAGGAATATCATCCATGCCTTATAATGGCAGGAACACCCCTGCCTTATAAAGGCAGGAACACCCCTGCCTTATAAAGGCAGGAACACCCCTGCCTTATAAAGGCAGGAACACCCCTGCCTTATAAAGGCAGGAACACCACTGCCTTATAATGGCGGGAACACCCTTGCCTTATATTGGCAGGAACACCCTTGCCTTATATTGGCAGGAACACCCTTGCCTTATAATTGCAGGAACACCCTTGCCTTATATTGGCAGGAACACCCTTGTCTTATATTGGCAGGAACACCCTTGCCTTATATTGGCAGGAACACCCTTGTCTTATAATTGCAGGAACACCCTTGTCTTATAATTGCAGGAACACCCTTGCCTTATATTGGCAGGAACACCCTTGTCTTATATTGGCAGGAACACCCTTGCCTTATATTGGCAGGAACACCCTTGCCTTATATTGGCAGGAACACCCTTGCCTTATATTGGCAGGAACACCCTTGTCTTATATTGGCAGGAACACCCTTGTCTTATATTGGCAGGAACACCCTTGTCTTATAGTGACATATCACCCCTGACTTATAGTAACATGTCACCCCTACCTCACAGTGACACGTACACCTCTACCTCACAGTGACACAACAATCTTACCTCATTAATGAAGTTTTGACCGACACTGCACATGTTAATCAGCATGATTGTTGCCCCCAACAGTAAGGTAAAGGTAAAGCCTCCCTCAAAGTACCCGCGAGACAGTGTGTATATAGTTGCCACACATAATATCAGGCCCGTCACTAGTATTGTTGTCATCCCAAGGAAGAAGTAGTCAGTCAGCTTCTCTCGTGTTTCTTCGACCTAAAAGTTAAAAAAAAAAAAAAAAACGGTAATAAAGTGGAAGATATGTTGAGAAATATATGTCTCACAATGTGATATTAACCTACACGTTTGTATTTGGTATTCATGTTGGATGCACAGTAAGTATATGGTTTTATTGTTCATGTACAAAAACAATACTTTGAAAATTACATATAAAATAACTTCGTTGTTTATGAAACTTAAATCAAGACCCATTATAAAGAATTTGTGTACAGTTCCTAATTAATCTCATTGAAGCTTTGTGATAAATTAGTTTATTTACCAACAGATGGCGCGCCTACCTGTGCATACTAATTATCAATGTTGGGAGGACCAATCACTTGGTAATGTGGTCAAGTGAGGTACACAACAATATGTAAGGGAGGTTATATATTCCCCAAAGTGTGATTGTCAATAAACTGTAACCATTCTTCCTTTACTACAATTCAACGGCGTGACATCATTTGTGTATCCCCCTCCGGGAGCGGGGGGAGACGTGACATCACTGCAGATTTGGTGTGAACACAACAGCTAAGTTATGAACCGTTTGTGAATCATTCTTACGATAGTTCATGTGGACTTCAGATCTCCCGGCAGTTATGAACTTCGTATCTCAGCAGTGTTAGTGAATTTGGGCCCTGGCTACTTATTGGGAGGATACCGCTGCTTTCATTCGTTGAATGACACTAATGAGATAACATTTGCACAGGCTCCCATATCAATGTCTAGGGATAACTGATTGTTACCTATCCTCGCTGGTACAGTCAACACCTGCACCTTGTTTAACGCGGCGATTAATGAACCGGTAATGGAAGCGTTGTGTTCTTGATCTTTTGACACTATCCCAGATCTGGTTCCTAGACACACCCATCTTCCCCATAAGTCTGTTGACGTGTCTCGTCGTTCTGTGTACTCCTTCCATTGTCACAGTTTGGCTTTACAGTCCTCCATATTATGGGTATGGGGTTCATGCAGCACACACCATTTACTTTGAGTGCCCTTTGTGTTCAAAGGCATTTTATTCATTTGTTTTTTTGGAGGTTTATTAGAATAATCTTGATTAATAAAGTCATGAGAGGATCCTTTCCCTTGGTCTTGCCGTGGTCCAGAAGAATAAACTTTCTTTTTGTCCTCTGAACCAACAGTTATCAGTGATATGTCCTTTCCTTTTGTAGATTTTGCAGAAAGTTGCCTTTTTGGGTTTTGTTCCGGTGCAATTTTGGTGCTGATCCTTGGAACTGGTGCTATTGGCATATCCCTAGAAATAGTTCCACCACAGCAAAAAATTCCTCCACGTGATCTACAAGCTTAGTCATTGCTTTATATTCTATCTTTCTATTGGAACTCATTTATCTTCACGAAACTTTCCATAGTTATTTTCCCTTGGTCATCAAACCAATTTGAGTATGTCATGTAAGATATGAGATCCATCACTGTGTGTACGGCAATAGCTTGTGCCTCTTGTACGTTGTGAACAAAAACACTCGTACCTATATGCTCTGCCATCTTAAAGATCCAAGTGCTCCGAGAAAGATGTAAAATGATTCCTAAACATTGGGTAGTCGAGGTTTTCATCACCAATGACTGTGGTGTACAAAATTCTGTGTTCCCGACAACCAGTTTTGACGTTGCTTCGGACGTACGAGATTTTATTCTTATCTTTAACATCATTGTGATGCATTACGTCTTCGTATGCACTTAGGAATGTCAAGAAATTAAAACCTGCGTATTCACCTATAAATTCCTGTACCTTGACAGTACAAGTATTTGAAAGTATTTTTACAGTTTGATAGACCGAAGAGGTCTACTGTATGTGTTTGTAGAATCACCTGTAGCCATGCTTGCAAAGTTAGTTAAAGCACTCGTCTTGTCTAATGTTAATTTCTTCGAAATGAAAATATACGTATTCTTCACATCAATTAACTGACTTCATACGAGTTAACTCTATTTGGCTACTTTGTGGTAATAATTCCCTAGTTGCTTCCAGGTCTGATGAGTCCTGAAAATTTTCGGTATCCATATCTGAGCCTGAGTCACTAGTTTCCTCTTTTAAACCCCCAAATAAGGAAAAAGGTTATGTATTAATTAAAATTCAACATAACACACTAATTTGCCAACTCGAGGAGTGAATGCAAAAGCATTCATAGTTAGTTATCGAAATAAAAAAAAGAAAGAGAATTAAAAGTACATAAACTTTGAGATAGTTTTCTTACTTTGATATATGAGTTATCAAATACCTTTATTTAATTTAACTTTTAGGCATTTGGGCATATGGTTTAATATATATATTGACTACCATGTGAAGAAAGACACTTGTGTTTGTGTAGTCTGTAAGAATAATAGATGTTGTTGTCTACCTGAAGTCTGGACTGTAGAATCCATAGATGTTCAACGATAGCTGGGACCTTGCTCACGAGTGGTGACGTCGGAAGTCGATGATGTTCGCCTCTAGAGGTTGATGATGTCACGCTTATGTTGATTAAAGTTGGGCTGTAGCTCATTGTAGATTTTATGTAACATCTGGTGCCGCAATCGCTTGTGGTAAATGTATAATGTCGAGAGGAGGAGGAAATGATGGCACACCCTCTCATAGCTGCGTGGAACCTTCGACAGCTTCTCGGCAGGGGCCGGGAGGTGTCATTTACACTTAAGTGCTGGTAGATTTCACTACTGGGTACTTGAGACTCATTTTTTTAATAAGAAAGCCTCTTTTTATATTGTCTCTTTATCTTATCACTACTGGTATTCTGTTCTCTAGTATAAGTACTTTGCCACTGTCAGCTTAATGTGAATTTTTTTTTGAAGATTCACTTAAATGTCACTTGTGTTTACACTCTTCACTGATTTTCATATTCATCTTACTGCTTGCCACCAATTGTTATAGTGTCTTTTATAACTCTTATATTGTAGTTAATTTCTGTAACTCTTAAGTGGCAGGTTCTTGAGGTAAACACTTCTTAGTCTTTTCGGTGTTTTATTTAAGTTGCACGCTATGTACACTGATAAGATCTAAGAGTATATTGGGTAAATCATCTCCAGGGAAGAAGTCTAATTAGCACTTGTGAGTTACCCTGTGACACCAGAAAGTGTCACCATAGAGGAGAACTGTTGAATTGAATTGAATTGAATTGAATTGAAACACTTTATTTAGCCAGAAAAACACGGATACAGAGCGGATAATAATAACAATTTTAACATTGCTGAACCAGTTGAGAGCCTGAGCTCTCCTGCTAGCAACCTTGTAACAACCTTATTTGTCTACACTAACCTTGTTAAGGTTTGAACCTTTGAGGAAGTTGCTAGCTCAGGCCTCATTTGTTTTGGCTAAGCTGTCCCCTTTGCTTGCTTGCCAAACAGTTCATGACAATTGTTATGTTTACGAGTAAATATATGTGTGTATATTGGGGTATATTTATTTATAATACTAAAGTGCAATAATACACACACACACACACACACACACACACACACAGCGAAACCAATATTATTTTCACCCTGGTCTCGGTGGTTAATTATTGTCTGACATTCCACTCAATTAATATTTTGGGGAAACTGAAAAAAAATTCTTGTTTATATTACCTGTAAAATGCGCGACTCTAAGTCATGTAGAGGTGAGCTAGTTGTGGTGAAGTCCATCATAGTTGTAGCAATGTCGTGCTGGCCTTTGGTGGGTTGCAGGTTGTGGGAGGGAAGATGTTGAGCAAGGGACACCACATCCTCCACCGCCTCCACCAGCTGCTGCGCCAATATTGAAAACGTCATCCTGAAGAACAGATGCGACATATACAAGGATGGGACGCTGAAAAGGGTGTTGAAGAAGAAGCAGATTTTCTCGGCGAGGGAGAGATGCGGGTAGTTGATGTAGAACGGCACCGAAAACAAGACCATCGTCGCTTCCACCAACATTACGATAATGATATACACAAGCCTCATGTGACACTGATTTCCAAGTGTGTTTGTCTTCACTCTTGCGTGAAGATCTGTTAAGGCAGATGCCAGTTTGCTGCTCTTGGAACAGAGCAAAGCTGACACAAGACTTGTTATCATAAATGCTAAGGATACAGAGTACTTTAAAACTATGCCGCCGATGTCGTTCCTGAACATGGTTAAGAATAATTTCACGATTTGCAGAGGAGTAATGATGTTGATATATAATTGTATGAACATGTCCCAAAGAAAGAGTACTAAGCTGAACTGGTGAGGTGAGGGAGTCTGGGTGTTGGGCCAGGTGTAGGGGAACATTCCTACCACTTGGAGAACAACAGCCAGTGACCGTAGTGACCCCTGTCGCAGGTCTTGTATCAGCGTCGTCATCTTCCCTCTTGAGCGGTGTCCGCTGCAGGAAAGAGCCTAACTTAATCTTCTATTACTGGTATTATCAGGCTATGTAATTCTACTGTCACTTTAGTTTCACGTGTAAAAATACAAGTCTTTCCAATAAACCTGTAACAACTGTCTGGTTCAGTCAGCGTCAGTGATTGTTATTGCAGTACTACCACATTGGAAACATCTTTTTGTTCGATTTGCGATGCTAAGCAACGTTGGGTTTGGTCAGTACTTGGATGGGTGACCACCTGGCCCTAAGAACACAAGATGCTGCTGCCATAAGGCCTTTACTGGAAATTAGTATCTTGTGGCTTTGTCAGCTGTCCTTGGTCAAGTTGATTAAATAGCAATTATTATTAATCGTTTATGCACAGTAGTGACTTTGGTTGGCAGGAACTGTGCTACCGCTGAGGTTCACAGGATGTAGTGGGGCCGATGCCAGGAACTGTACTGCCGCTGTGGTTAACAGTAGGTGGTGGGCTGTGGCCAGGAACATATATTGTGTAATACTCAGAGAATCGATAGCCATCACGAGCAAATGTGTTCGTGTTTACCTCGCCTTGAAAGCAAACAGACTTTAAACTCTGGCTTGATAAGAACAGAGTCACAGCATACTTATTGAAGGCAACCGTTGATATACTATGAGTACCGTGGTGTATATGTCAACACGCGGCAATTATTGGATATTACCAGTACTTTGTTTGAGTTACCAACGAGGAAGTAGGTGATGTCACCCTGACAGCCTCCATTATCTTTATTAATAACCAGGTTAAGTATCTTGTGTACAATATTATTAAGGTCGAGGAGAAGTTTCAGCAGTAAGAATTTGTGTGTGTATTTATTGTTTACCTTGCTATCATTTACGTCAATTCCAATAAGGAGATAATAGACAACTTTAAAAACTCTCTCTCTCTCTCTCTCTCTCTCTCTCTCTCTCTCTCTCTCTCTCTCTCTCTCTCTCTCTCCTGGACTGAATACGACTACATCAGGTCCTGGAATATTATGTTTATGAAAACTTATTATTGGCATTATTACTCTTAAACGATTTATATTATTTATTATTATTACACTCAATAATTGTTAATAATAGCGATAGCACTAGTGGTATTCGTAATAGTAGCAGGAGTCACAGTAGTAGCCGTAGCAGTAGATAGATACAGTATATGTTTGGATACATTACATCTGGCGTCATAGCAGTTAGGTGACATCGTATTTACTGTTAACTGTTTAAAAATTATGAAACAGAACTATATATAAAAATCCATATTTACAGATACAGCTATACTTCCAGTGTGTGGTTAAGAAATAATAGTGTTATATACCCTAGAGGAGGCCAACCCTCCTCGAAACTCCCCAAGAGAAACTCCATACTTTGTAAACAAAACCTCTATTCCGAGAACTATATAATATAATGGATGCCCCTCCAACTAGGGGATGACCGGCCATAGGGCCACCTAGGCGTGAATTTGTTTAAGGTGTAGAAGCTGTCGCCAACACAACAACCACACCCTAAGATAACGAGTTGCATGACCTAGTGTCAAGGAATAATCCGTGAAGTCCGGATAACTCGTCAACTTCACTGGCTAACAATTACTCCGGAACACGATCCACAAATCCATTAACATCCAGTTTCCTAATTACTGCTGGGTAGACAAAGGAAAATGACGTAAAGAAACTTGCCCATAATTTCATCCTGCCTGGGGATCGAACCTGTGTTCCCTCGCTTGAGAGGCGAGCATGCTCACTATTACATCACAGGTTGCCAAAACTAGTGATATGCAAAAGCTACCATCTCAGCCCCGAGCTCTTGAGAGATGCCTCCTCTTCGGGTCCCCCAGACTGGGACAATCTACCAACTCTCGGGCCATCAAATGGTCATGTGGCAGCCTAAATGGGAGATTCGAAGCCTGTCCATGGCTATCCCCCACCTCCTTGGCATTTAAGACCTTGTTTAGGACAGTATCAGTAGTAGAAGTAGGAGTTATTTTAGTAGTTGTAATAACAGTAGTAGTTGTTGTAGTAGTTGTAGTTGCAGTAGTGGTAATAATAACATCCTTATTATCTCCGTTTATATTAACAATATTACCCTGCCCTCAATTGGTAAAGGTGTGTAAATTTGCATCAAATTTAGTACGTTTTATCAATATGTATCAAGGCCCACATAATAAACTTTTGGGCCAAGTCGTCCCCAAATTGACCTAATGTTGACATGGTAACAGTTCATGTAATGATAACACACAGGGTTTCTCAACTGTTAAAGGAAACGATGACATGAGGCAGTTTCCAGCGGCTACTCCAATGATTTAAAGTAAGGTTTTGATGATGATGAACAGTGTCACTATTTCGATATTTATCCTGCCATGGTAGCGGTTCGCGGGTAGGGTTTGTGTCCGCTGGGTAATGTTTGATTGTTACTAAAGTACTCTTATTATTATTGTTATTGTTCCTTTGTTGTTATTTTTCCCGTACTGTTGATTTTACTGTTGCTATCAAACAGGGAGGTACTACCGCCTGGGAAGATATTGGAAGCATAATGTGCTGCCGTATGACATAACCATAATAGTAACCAAGTGCCAGGTCGTTGATCTGGCTTATGCCACATTTATACACAATTGCAGGATCTCAATTTATTATTATTATTATTATTATTATTATTATTATTATTATTATTATTATTATTATTATTATTATTATATATATTAAGTTCATACATTTTATTATTATTATAATTTTATTATATTTTCGCCCACTAGGCCTTGATGTGGGTCATAAAATGACCTGTGCTGGGTGGGCGAATGCCCCTAAAAAAAAAAATGGTTTCCCAGCTAGTATCCAAGCTCTTTCCGCTCAGAAAGCCTGCTCCCTTGAAGGTCGGCAGTGGCATTGTAAAGATCATTTGCTGCATCACCAAACTTGTTATTGCTAATGATCATTTGAGGTAGGACGCGGGAACTGAGATACAGCTTTGACTTTATCATTAACTGTATGTATGCCCTCACCGTCAACTACATGACCAAGGAAATGGATTCTGGATTTTAAAAAATCGCACTTCGAGAGTTTTATTTTGAGGCCTGCTGTAGAAAGTTTGGCCAACACTTCACGCAGTTTAATGAGATGGGAACCGACGTCCTTACTGACTACTATTAGATCATCCAAATAAGCGCAGACTGTGGTACCAATTAGTCCGGCAAACAGGGTGTTGATCATTCTTTGAAATGTTAGTGGGGCATTTCTGAGACCAAATGGCATTCGTAGAAACTCAAAGTGGCCTAGAGGCGTGCTAAATGCCGTGATTTCTCGTGATTTCTCATCGAGTGGTATTTGCCAGTACCCACTAAGCAAATCTAAGTTGCTAAATACCGCATTATCCTTGCCTAAGGATTGCAATATGTCGCCAAGATAGGCATTGGGTACCTATCAGGGATCGTTTGATCATTGACGCGCCTGAAATCTATGACAGGGCGCCATCCACCATCCTTTTTCGGGACGAGGAATAATGGGCTATTAAAGGGGGATTTTGAGTGTCTAATAACATTCTCATCTAACATACCCTGTACCATATCTTGTACTACAGCGCGCTGGCTATGAGGTAGTCTATAAGCTGGTACGTAAATAGGGTTGGTTCCCTCCTTTAACGCTATATGATGGGATGTTAAATCTGTCTGACCTAGCGTTTCCCCTGGCAAGGCTACTATATTTCTATAGTCGGCAAGCAGCTCTAAAAGACGTGTCTTGCTCTGTGGATGATCGATCACCTTAACATGTGGTGCTATTTGATCTATCCTGGCCAGTCGAGTCTGTTGGCATTTCGCAACAATACCTCGAATTGGGAATTTAGTAGGCTGCACTTCGACATTGTTGTGATATACTAGAAAATCACACAAATAACATCCTTTCTTTAAGATTCGTTGAACGCCTGTTCGATTTAGAATCAGTACGTCGGTCAAACCACCAGGGCGTATAGTGCTCAGGGTAGATTCACATGACAGCCCTTTTACCTTGCATGTTTCCGGGAGACACACAACATCTGTGCCCGTGTACACGTTGGGTAGTTCGACAGTTGCTTTGGTGATTTCCTCATTTTGGTAATGGAGAGTACTCTTCAACACTGCTGGTACGATCGTCCAACTCTTGCTGCTGTAATCACTCTGGGAAGGTGTGTGGTTGAGGTTCAAGAGGTATCTCTGATGCATGATCCGCCTTCCTCTTAATAGGATTGGTAGACAACACTTTCGTCCTAGCGGTGAGCATAGCTTCAGAATGACTCATTGCTGTGTAGGAAACACCTTTAAACGTAACACTATTATTACTTGGAAGAACATCTATCATGTTCTTTCGAAGAGTTGGTAGACCAAGTAACCCGTCGGCTGGCAAACTAAACTGCTGGACTATATAGAAGTCCGCGTAGAAGGGAGAACCACGTCTTGAGAATCTGAATGGTAATGTCACCATTCCTTTGATGCTCAGCTGAGTACCGGAAACTCCTTCGAGCTCAGCGTTACTAGGCCTCCATTTGAAGTTGCGTTGAGGGAACTTATGTTGTAACTCGTGATATGATGTCAAGGCTAATACATTAGCGCAAGCACCTGTGTCTATATAAAGAGCCAATCTGGTATTATCCACTCTTCACCGGCACTGACAACACTTCCACTTCGCGAAGCGCCGATACTAACGAGGCCGCTATAGAAGTGCTGTGAGGAGGGGTGGGGATTACCCTATCTAGCCCTCTCCTTGTTGTGGTGTGCGCTGGTCTTCCCCCGACGACTTGTCCTGGGGACGTTTCTGCTTGCGCCTATACGACACCTCCGTTTCACTAAGGTCCACTTCCCTAGCCTTTATTAGCAAATCGCACTCATGTGAACTATGAGATGTCGATTTGTGAAGAGTGCACCATTTGCGCGCTTTCTGGTTAAGAGGAGGTGCTGGTTTGACTCCCTCACTGTTTGACCTTGAGAATGGCTTTGCACCGGGTGTGGCCTTAAAATGTGCACTATTACCTCGGAGCTGAAAACAATCTTCCATTACGTGGCCACGTTTATACAATGTGCGCTTCTTAAAGATGTTTTCTGTTTATATGTCAGGCTGGGAGGAGCAATCGGAGCTAGCTGTGTCGCATAAGGAGTCTGGGAGTGAGGCATCTGCTCCATCTGAGGTAGCTGGGGTTGCGGTGACGTCACTGAGGGCTGCGCCAGTAAGGGGCCCATAGCCTGGGGACAGAGCTTGTTTGCCTAATCCACCATATCCAGGGGTGGTTCATACTGTACTTCCTGTGCCAGGCTATATAAGGGACGACGGACGGAAAGGAGAAAACTTATTAGTTCTATCAATGTTTCCACATTGTCCTCTGGCATATCACCCCGTGAGTTGTACCAGTCTGAGGACCGGAAGGTCGCTTGCATAATATGCAAGCGACCTTCCGGCGAGGTTCGCCAGGATATGCAATGCATATCCTGGCGAACCTCGCCTGCAATGTCGACAGCGTCGACAGGCGTTTCATTGCGTTTACCTGGAGTACAGCGATCCAACCATCTGAATATCCATTGCAGCTGGCCCAGCTGTGACCTATCCCCAAAAATCCCAATTAACGTTCGCTTAAACTTTTCATAGTCAGGGCTTTGCAAACCAAACGCATTCAAACGACTGCCGGCATAGGAACCCTGCGTTTTATGGGAACGTACATATGCTTTTTTTTCTTCGTCAGTCGTTCTGTGACTAGTGCGCATGCTATCTTCACATGCACGAATAAAATGTGCGACCCTATAATCATCTTGTCCCGTGAAATTTCGAACATAGTCGCCGCGCTGCATGATATTAATAACATTATCAGATTTAGGTGTGGTAGTAGTACTGGTGTGAGGGTTAGAGGACGCCATTGTAGTGTTAGTATTAAGCAAGTTAGTATTCTTACTCCTAACAGAAGGCTGGGTTAATAAGGTTGGCACCAATTTAGCAACAGACACACTATCACCTGTAACAGGGGTAACTGTTTTTGTATACTTAGGTGAGGTACTATATTGATTACCAGATCGTAGGGTACGACGGTTTAAGTCGTCAAACGATTCGTCAATAACTTTCTCACTACTTCCTACCGACTCATTTAACTGTGATCCCGACTCAAAATCTATGTCAGTCTGGGCTTGATCATCGACGAGTTGGTTATAAGCATACAGTTGCGCTAGGCGTTCAATGTCATCCACATTAGACATGGGAAACTTAGAAATTATCTATTAGTCCCCCTTGGGTCAATGAATACTTAACAGTAAGCAGATCACTTGCCTCTCATTTACAAGACAAATGAATATGAACTGTAGTTAATTATTAAACAATCAATAAGAAGACAGACACTTATAAACCACTGTAAATTATAGGATTTCAATACATTAATCTTACATTCGACACTTTATCATTGAAATAATCCTATCTGACGAACCTATCGGTGTGAAGATATCTCTCGAACGTGTTCATGTGTGTAGAATTATGTAATTTAAATACCTATTTATACAGGGTATTACGTCTGTATAGAAAATGTGATCCTTCAAGCTGAGTTCTGAATCGAGTGGTGGGTGGAGGGTGGGCGGGGCATCTTCGTAGTGATGCACGCGCTGCTCCCGGTTTCCTTGGCAACGATGAGACGCTTCTGCCTTGGCGAGAGCCGAGTCCACTGCAAACTAGGGGAGTTTCTGTACCAGAGATCAGAAACTGCTGATGATTGGTTATCACTCTGGTCGTTGCTGGGTCACTAGCGAAACTGCCGTGTGCCAAGTCTTCACAGTCTACGTATATATGGAGATTTTGTATGACACCGGAACTTCGTAATTAACGCTGACGACACAACAAAACTGTTCAGCTGCTTGTGAAATACCAATTGTTAGTCCAGGTTATGAAACCTTTCTTCAACACTGCAACACTGTAACTAGAAAATGCTGAGTGGGGTCTACTTCAACAGGTACAATCTGGATATATACCAACAGGCTGTAATATATGTATATTACGAATTCTGCACGTTTTTGTATGTGACAGAGATAAGGAGCACTCACTAAATATCGTCTCAATACGGGATATAGTTTTAAACACTCGGATTATGTAACGCATCACTGCTGTGTGTTTTCTGTTTTTCACAAAACACAGATGGTTGATACGACTACCAGTTTAAGAATCCGTACACACCGCTACCACCTATATGAATCTGCTGCTTGTGCAATTAACCAGGCCGTTCACATATATTTATTATTTGGGTTAAAGTAACGAAACCCAAACGGTTGTTCCTTTGTTTTATTATAAAAGGGTTGTATATATAATTCCTGAGTGTAGATCTACCGTAAGTCTCACTGTCTAGGAGTGAATGAGAAGGGGACGGCGTTTATGTATTATAAACGTTAGGTCATGTCCTTACGATATAAGTTGATGTGAGCGACTGAAGCTTAAGGGCCTCCCAGCGAGGGCTTACAGAAATGCTGACTATGGGACTCGCCCTCTTGGGAGAGTTGCCCGCTCACGTGTCCAACTCATGTCTTACTCATTGACAGTGGAAAGTTACAGGGTGGTGAATCTGAATATAATATCAGATGTATTGACCCATTTATATAATATGTTCTATTGATGAGACAGGGGCCCATTACAAACTCTCAACCCATCAGCATCCAGGCCTGAAGGGCCTGCCACTCCCTGTGTCTGCAATGTTTTTGTTTGTTTTTTTAACCCTCCCTCCTGTTATTTTTTCGAACATGACAGCGTTTGGAGGGACATATGCACTCTAGATTCTAGAGTGCATATGTTCTAGAGTCTGGAACATTATGTCTTCCTCTACACTTGCAACTTTTTTCCTTTAGTTGCTCTATGGTCTCTGTATTGGCAGCACACCTCCAGAAGATTGCTAGTACTACTACTACTACTACTACTACTACTGATTACTAATCGTACTACTAATCACCACAACTATACAGCAACTATATAACTACCAGTACTATTACGATTACACTGTCACTATCAACATTACTATCAACTTTTGTTTATACTATAACGATTAGTACAATTTTCTCATAACTCAAGCCGTAATTTAACAACGTAGTACTTTTCTTGTCAACGATGATAAACGCTCGTAGTGCTAAGTTTATGCACCCCTAGAGTCATTTCGTGAACTATTACACATATATTCTTCGTATCGTAAACTTTAAATTATCGTGAAAAAATACCAGGAATATTTATTATATCGTTTAACAATAATTATCAAAATTATTGCCTATAAATATTTTAAGGCATCTCGTGAATGGTGGCCATAGAGAGGGTGCCCAGCTAGTAATATGGATCATGTACTAACGTCAAATCAATCATAATGGATCTTCTAGTAGTGTAGGAAAGAAACTAGAGCAGAGCTGGGTAAGAGCCTCTCTAGGAGCTGTGCTAGAACATAGTTGATTATTTGATCGGAGTACATCAGATTCTAAAGTACCCTTGTATATCATGATGGCTGTAAGAAGAATGTGCAGGACAAAATGACAGTATTAATACACACGCATATCAATACCTCCCTGCAGCTCAGTCTCATGTTGTTTAGACCTAGTACGTAACGGGAAATGTGAATGAGTGGGTGACGGAAATCCAAGCTCTGTCAGATATTGCTAAAACAGTCAATGCGGCTTTTGCGGCATTCACCCATGGAGTCAAGCATCGCTGGAATTTCCTGATGCGCACTATCCCTGATATTGGACCCCTTCCCAGCCCTCTGGAAGAAGCCATCAGTGTTGCTTTTATCACGACACTAGTGAAAAACCCTCACTTAACCCCTGCAGAAAGGTCACTCCTTGCACTACCACCGAGACTAGGAGGATTGGGATTGACTATTCCAGTGGAGTTTGCCCATACAGAACATGAGAACTCTGTCAAGCTCATGGCAGCTCTCACTGAGCTCATAATAGATCAGAATGCGCCAAGTCAGATGGATACCAATGAATTAAACAAGATTCGACGGTCCATTACAACAGAGCGGCAGCACACCCAAAGTGATAAACTGCAACAACTGTTGAAATAAGAGCCAGAGAACGTGAAAACAACGTTACCGATAAGGGCAAAAGGCTTCATCCTTAATAAATAAGAATTCACTGACGCCATTGCTCTAAGGTACGTTAGGCCAGTAGAAGGTTTGCCCTCCCAATGCGTGTGCGGCTCATCTTATGTCATGGACCACGCCATGCTGTGCAAGAAGGGGGTCTTCGTATGCATGAGGCATGACGAAGTAAGGGATCTAACAGCAAATCTACTGAGGGAAGTCTGCCACGACGTCATGGACGGTGAAAACCTCCGTCACAGGACTTCAAACACATCCAACGAAGCCCGTCTGGACGTCAGTGGTTGAGGATTCTGGACGCGGAAACAGCGAGCCTTTTTAGACATTAGGATTTTTTATACCAAGGCCGCATGACACCGCAACCTAGCTCTCCATGCTGCACACAGGAGGAATGAGAACGACAAGATTATGGAATAGGGAGAGAGAATTCAGAACGTTGATCAAGGCAGCTTCACTCCTCTGGTGTTCACAACCTCTGGCGGGATGGGACCAAGTGCAAGATACTTCTACGCCAGACTCGCGGAGGTGCTATCCGAACAGAAGCAGCAGCCCAGAAATTATGTTACAGCCTGGATGAGATGTCGACTGTCCTTTCTGCTTAGGTCTGCATTGCTTTGCCTCAGGGGAACGAGAGCATCGGCCCCAAAGCCGACAACAGTCGCAGATATAGACTTTGAGGCAACAGTCACTGAATGCCGCATAGATCTGCGGCTCAACTAACTCAACACAGCTAGGGTAGCTACTTATGTATTAGGATTGTTAATTTTAATGTGTGGCTATTGGGGGAGGCTGGTGGCCATTTTTCAATTTAAAAAGGAAAAAAGAAAAAAGTAGTAGTAGTAGTAGTAGTATCAATAATATTTATCGAGGTTGCAGTAAGGTTATAATAGTAGTATTGTTTTTGCTTTGGTAGTTATGGCAAACGATGATATTCTTATAGATGTCATTATTACTGCTATTGGAATTGTTGTTTTCGCTTTTGTATTTTATTTATTTTTTTTAAGAAATATAATTAAAAAGAGAAACGATATAAAAATTGCGAATCTCTGGTTATCTCAGGTAGTGTCTTTCTCTGTACGCCAATGAATCCAAATAAAGTCTTAGAAGAAGGTGAGAAAATTAAAGAAATTGAACTGTACAATCAAATTTTATTCTTTCAATTAGTTTAATGCACAAGGAATAGAACATGTGGACTTACATATACTGTGCAGGTACAGATACAGGGACAAGTATAGATACATAAATTTCAATATAATAACAAAACACAAATGATATATACGCCCCATCATCTTGTCATCTTGTAAACATAGAAAGTAAAGATACACACCAGATTTATTATCTAAAAGGACCATATAATCTGGTTAAAATGTTCAAATACAGGAGCAAACTTGGCTCATTGTTGACATATTGATTAATTCTGAAAAAAACCACCATATCCATAACCCGGAAATAAACATTCTAAAAACTATAATTTATAAGACTCTGATACACTGATCCTTCACACAAGGGTAATTTAAGAATTTTTTGACAGTGAGAGACAGTGGCCTCGGGACATAAGCGACGTAGTCTTCCCTGTCCAGGTTCTTAATTAAGATACACCGTCGGGCGGCATATCTGTTTGTTTTACAAGCTTAGAAAATTGAATATTTATCTGAAAATTCAACAAATTATAATGAATCTAACAATTATTTTTTTTACTTCATTCACATAGTCAGCTAGACGAACAGAATCGCACTGGTGAGAAAATTTGGACTAACGATGAGTAAATTTGAATTGTTTACACAACAGTGAGTGAAATACTCTACAGTACATTTATTGATATATAATTTATTATACGCATACATCTAGGAGTAATTATAGTAAGCATTGTAGTCCAGGTATAGGTGGTGGCATTGGTGGTGCGTTAAGCCTGGCGGTTGAGGGGTTGGTCACCAACCTGCACCAGGATCACCAGGTAGGTCACCATCAGGTTCACCACCTGTCAATACAATACACATGAGCCGCTGTATCTAACATATCAGGTGAATTTATCTGCTGTATCGTGAATTAGTGAGGAATAATATTTTTTTCGATATTCATAATTTATTTTTACATTGTTTCTTTTATTCATATTTTTTAATTGTAATTTTGGTCGAAGTAGAAGAAGGAGATGCAGGAGAATACACCTGAAATATTATGTTTGTTTGACCATTAGTCAGCAAAATTACATTTAGTGATAGTCAGAGAGAAAAGTATCACCTTAAGGTCAAAGATACATATATAAAGACATGAATGGAAAGAAAGAGAAAGGTGAAGTATCCCTCACGACTCACCCCCACCAGGGTGCTGTAGTCCAGCCTGTACCATCCATAAAAATCGAATATCTGTAGTGGTTCCAGGAGGTGCAGCAAGTAGCTCACCTGTCGGAGATATGACACAGATACTAAACCGGCCTGGAAATATAGCGCCGGTGTTTAACATGGCATAAGAGCCTAGGCATAAATGTTTGTGATTTAAAATGTTAAGTGTAGGTGATGTAGCACCTCAAAGTATGCAGTAGCTATAATAAATTTTGAACTCTTTAACCACCAGGTCTAGCAGGCTAACGTCGTGACCCGGGCTCGCTTGTATGTGTGTAATGATAATAATAATAATAATAATAATAATAATAATAATAATAATAATAATAATAATAATAATAATAATAATAATAATAATAACAATAATAACACTGGGCTGCATTTAAAAAAGAAATTCATGAGGTGCGGGGTTTCTTAGCTGATTCTTTATGTATTTTGCGTGCTGATTCCAAAAATGCCATTCATTTTGCCCAATTAGGTCAGATTTTTATGCTATGGGAATTAGGAAAATATCGAAATTCTTAAATATGATGTCAAAATTTTTATGCAAAATATATCATAAGAAATGTAACCACAACACATAGGACCAAAATATGTCAACTACATAGATGCCTTTACAGTTAGACATGCATAAATGGCTGTCGCAGAGAATTTCTTTGGTGGTTGGTGTCTGGGGCGTCCCGTTTCAGACACCAACAGTAGTCGGCGAGCATGTTGATATCCCAGCGACCCTGGTACCGCTCCTCCATTACACGGATATCTTGATGGAAGCGTTCTCTTTGTTCCTCACTCACATCACCACAGTTCTCTGGAAAGTAGTCCAAGTGGGAGCTGAGGAAGTGCATCTTGATGGACATGCGTGCACCAAGAACTTTGTAGCTCAGAAGTAGGTCCTCAACAACTCGTCCATACTCTGGACTTCTGTAGTTGCCAAGAAAATTGGAGACAATAGACTTAAAGGCATGCCAGGCTTTCTTCTCATTTACATCCATGCTGCAATCAAACTTGGGATCTTTGAAAAGCTCTCTGATCTGAGGGCCATCAAAAATTCCTGCATTCAGCTTTGCCTCACTGACTTTTGGAAATTTTTCTTTCAGAAAATTGAAAGCCTGGCTTTTTTTGTCCAGTGCCTTTACAAAGTTTTTGAACAGACCGAGCTTGATGTGCAGTGGCGGAAGAAGAATGTTCTGCGGATTCACCAGAGCATGGGCAACAACATTGTGAGAACCTGGAGTAAGTCCACTTCTTGCAGGCCAGTCACGTTGCATGTAGTGCTGCTTGTCTGCTCGACTATCCCACAGACAGAGGAAACATGGAAACTTGGTGTAACCACCTTGTAGGCCCAGCACCATGGACACAACCTGTGGAAAAAACAGATTAAAAATATGTTTAGCTGAATAGTTTTATTATTAAAAAATATTAACACTTCATAATATGACAGTATGTCGGCAGACATAATTACCTATTAGAAAAACTGTCAACAAAATATCAATTTTTGAAAGCAACTGTTTTTGGTGTATTAAATTACCTTCAAGTCTCCACAGATCTTCCAATTGTGGTCTTTATACTTCAGAACAGTTAACAGATACTCCATGTTGTTGTAGTTCTCATCCATCTGCACTGAATGCCCCACCGGAACAGACGCGACCTGGTTTCCATTGAACAACAACACAGCTTTCAAGCTTCTTTTTGATGAGTCAATGAAGAGCCGCCACTCTGATATATTGTATGATATTCCCATAGCTGCAATGAGTCCACTGATATTGTTGCAATACACCAATGAAGTTTCCTTGTCAAAACTGAAGAACTTGGGAAATTCCTTGTCACGGTTACGGTACCAGGCAAATGTTGTTCCTGGTGCTAAGACATTGTGTTCGCAAAGCCGTGATCCTAGTAGTTGAGCTGACTCCTTAGACAAGCACAAGTCTCTTGTTAAATCATTCAACTCAGCTTGACTGAAGGGTATGGGCTCTTTTGCAGAAGCTGTGGGCAAGTATGTACTAGAAGCGTCAGTCTCTTCTATGTCTTCATCGATATCATGATCGTCATCGAGTATCATGTCCCTATAGTTTTCTGGTGAAGTTGGAATTGGTATTCCTGGTCCGTGAGGAACTGGTTTGATGGCTGAGGCATGTATCTGGATACTTAACATGATGTTTGTTCTTATGTTTATACTCTGAAATGTGAAAGAAAAGATTTAGTATCAAGATAGCATAAATATATTAATTTTACAGATATATTTTTTAAGAATGCATGAACATACTGCATTTGATATATTAGCATTGATGTATTAGGCATAACGCACCCTGAAGGTTTGTCATGCAGGAAGTACAGTCCGTGGTATGATCTCTTCCCTCCATACCATGGTGGAATGCCAAATGGTAGACGTTGAATCTTCTGTTGCTCCATGCCGCAGATTTTCAACACATGTTTTGCAGCACATGTGAGGGCAAAAGCTTTATCTTGGTCTCCAAGTTTCATTCCAAAAGTATGTATGATATAAGTTTTTCACTAGGGAAGTGAATAAAAACTGTCGGTTCATTGTTACACAACCGCACACATAGCAAAACCTGTCTGGGTCGTTCTTGCACTTCCGATTCATGATTAAATGTACAACTCTGTAAGAAGAAAAAACAGGTGTGTATATGATTAGACATATGCGTGTGTGTGTGTGTGTGTGTGAGAGAGAGAGAGAGAGAGAGAGACGCACACTCCCACTTTCTTGAAGTCTGGAGAGATACCAGACTGAGGGTCTAGGACTTTTAGAGGCACATAGGGGTGGTTGCTAGTACATGCCATGTACCACCAGATGAAAAAGAAATTTAATTGTGAAAAAAATATATGTAAAAAACACGGATACATAGATTTTTTCCTCTTTGCGTCATGGCGGACATTTAAAATGGTCATGAGCACGTAAGGTATTTAAATACATCGTAAGGGGCATTAAAACTCGACCGAAATCTTTTTCAGAGGCTTGCCAATGTCTCGGATGATTTTTTTACTGAATTAATATGAGGACCCCATTTTGAGCGCAAAAATGCCAATATTTTACTTGAATTCCGCTTAAAATGTTATAGCATGCACTTCTGACCTGATTGAGCAAAATGGATAACATTTTTGAGGTCAGCATGCAAAATACACCCAGAAAAGCTTAATAATACACAAACCTCAAAAACTATGCAGGGCAGTGTAATTAACGGTTTATTGAGAAAGTTCTGCAGCCCGAATGCTGAAAATATATATTAGGCAAAATTGACTTTTTATATACAAAGACATGGGGTAGGTGGGTCGTTTAACAAAAGCTTTCATAACTAAAAGGAAAAGGACATGGCTTGAACATACAAATTATTATAGTTTGCAGTTGATGGCCCGGGCTGGTCTCTTGCCATACTGTGTGAGGTTACGTAGGCCACGTGGTGTAGTGACTCGTCCGTAGGTGTTGATATGAAGGACCTCCGTGGTCATGGAGACACCGGGTGGTGTGATGTTCACGTGGTGCAGTAACTCGTCCTCGGGTGTTAATATGAAGGACCTCACGTGGTCATGGAGACACTGGGTGGTGTGGGGTGGTGTCACAGTACATCACTCTCTACTAGGTGGTGTTGTGTTATCTCGTAGTCAGGTGTAGAGCCGGCCCACTGTTGTTCCCAAGGTGGAGTGTTTAACACAACCTGGTCAGAAGATAGTGGTTGGTTCCCAGGGGTGCTTATCTCACAGGTGGGTCGTGGCTCACTGGTACTGTCTAGTGCTGAATTCACTGTCTTAAACACTGTTCATCACTGTTCAACACTGATCCCTCTGCTTTCCGAAACGAAATTGTCACTTTAAATCATGCTGATATTCCTGTGGTGAGGATGGCTGAACATAGCCAAGGGGGACCGTTGTGCAGCAGGAGCAGCGCCAAATAGGTCTTGACTCTCCAGTTGTCAAGGATGTGTGTGTGTGTGTGTGTGTGTGTGTCCATAATGTATGCTGAGCATTTATTTCCACTTGAATCCTCGAAAAATGAAGATAAACAACCATAGGTAGTAAGGTAGTAGACAGCTACCAAACAGGGAGGTACTACTGCCTGGGAAGATATTGGAAGCATAATGTGTTGTCTATGGTAGACCCTGCTGCTATATGGCATCACGAAAATTGTGGCCAAGCCCCAGGTTGCTGATCTGACTTTGTGCCTCATTTACACACAATTGCAGGACCTCAATTGTTTCTCTTACTATTGACAACACAACATACATACTGTCGTTTCTCACTCTTGATTTATTTATTTCATTTTTGTATTTATTTATTGTTATTATTATTATTATTATTATTATTATTATTATTATTATTATTATTATATTTTCGCCCTCCAAGGCCTGAAGTGGGTCAGTGACTTGTGTCCTGGTAGGCAAATCCCCGTAAAAAAATGAAAAAAAAACTGTGCTGCAGTGGTCTCCAACCTTTTGTTGGCTCTGGGCCACAATTATCATTTTAAATATAGTGCAGGGCACCAAACTTTGGATCTGTATTCAAGAAAAAAGATCTCATATTTACTGTACATTTATTTGCAGTTTTACACGTCTAACTGTTAGCAGTTACATACTTTTTATATTTACTCTTGGACAGGAGGTGCATATTTACCCCAGTGAGAAGTCAGGCTCTCTCTCTCTGGGTCCGGTTTGTAGTAAATACACACGCGTTGTACACGACAGACTCGGAACGAACCTCTCTCTCTCTTTAAAATTGTAAAGTTGTATCAAGTTATTAAACATATTCATTAATTTCACTCATACACAGAATCCGAAGTAATTAACAATTTTCCAATAAACCCTTACTGACTCCATAATATGGTTCCCCGGGTGCCACGCGAACTGCAGGTTAGGGACCACTGCTGTACTGTATACCTTCTTTAATCCTCATGGCCGAAACTAGACGAGAGATCAGCCGTGATATGTGGGTGTTTTCTTATCATATATACATTGCATAGGAATAACTGTGACTGAAGTTCATACCAAAATAATGTCCTATTGTTATTTATGAATACTCTTATCTAACATGAATTCAAGACATTATATTTCATCTCAATAATGATAGGAAGTTATTTTGACACTCTTCAGAGTTTTACATAGTAAAAATAATTGTTAAAGTCATCTCATATGAAACAGTTATGGCAACTGGAATTAAAGCTGAATAATTTATCTGCACAGTCTACTGTACCTGAGCCTTGACGAAATAGTTTGACGATTGGCAACTAAATTTCTTCAACATTCCGGCCGCCTTGTCGACCTGTTGGTTATAGAAGAAATCTTTCTCAGGAGATTTGTGTGTCAGAATTATATTACTGAGGACACCAAAAACATGACAGTATTAAGTGGGTGTATTAGACCATGTCTAACAGACAGTGGGCTACATGCATTAGTTTTATATAATTACAGCACTCACGATAATTAAACTATGAGCAAGTGTCTAGTAAATAGAGCCTTAGTAATACTGGTGCAAGTGACGTCTAGGTCACGTAATCTTTCAAATGACCGCTGCACATCACTGCCCAGCTGAAGTCAGCAATAACTAGCTGGTGACACCAGTCAACCCAGGTATCTCGGACACACCACAGGTGTGTTAACGAAGCTCGCTACAACTCGCCTTAAACTATACTAACAGTCATTGCTCATAGTGTTAATTAAGGTGATGTCATACGTTAATTGTGCATAGACTATGTTAACAATAAAAAGAGAAAAGACAATTTGGGTTTGAAGCCTTTACCTAAAAACAATTATTTGTGTACTTGTGTGTGACCAAGCTACTAGGTCAGGGGTTCTCAACCAGGGGGGAATTCCCCCCAGGGGGGGGAATTCAGGTTTTCAGGGGGGGGGGGGAAACTGATTCGGGAGCAAGAGATATGTTTGATGAGAAATCAATCACAGAATTTTGGCCTTGATGTGCGATTCCTACCCAAAAGTGGCAGAAAGAGCTATCCGTGCATTGCTTCCGTTTGTGTCGACATATCTTTGTGAGTCAGGCTTTTCAACTCTGTTGCAAATTAAAACGAAGCAACGTAGTAGATTAGAGGCAGAAAATGACCTGCGTTGTGCCCTTTCAAGCACTCCTCCGCGTATCCCAGAATTGGCGAAGAAAAAACAATCACAGGTTTCTCATTGACTGTAATCTTCATCTGAATAAAATGAATTACAAATTTACAATATCCTGGTATTCTATTGAACTTTTTGTTTATTGCATTATGCTTCAGTTTGGTCTGTTAAGTAATTCATTATAAATGTAAAAAAACTATTTTCTTTTATTCAAGTTTTGTAAATCCATCAACATTTTCAATTGGCATTTAATTTGTAAAACTCCACTATAAAAATAATCCATGTAAAATTGTGAATGTATATGTACTAATATGGAAAAAATAAAGGATTTTCAGTATTGTATGCATATTATTTGGAATGCACTTTTTGAGGCAGACAATCTTGGAAAGGAGGGGGAATGACATTCTGACATATGGTGAAAGGGGTGCATGGGGCAAACAAGGTTGAGAACCACTGTACTAGGTGTTCTAAGAAGTATTTGACGAGGTACAGTACACTGAGGTACAGTCACTCATAAAAGTTCGTGGGGAGTCTCCATGTGTGTGAGGGTGAATTCCATCCCAACCCCTTTCTGGACGACAGGTCTCTGGGCACGAGACAACGAACACACAAACATACACGGTGAAACTGTTGGAACTGTGTGTGTTCAATTAAGACCTGTTTGACAGGAATATTTGTCCATTCAAATATTGTGTTATGTCATATAATATTTACACATTTGCATTTGTGTGACAGCATATGAGGGTTAAAATTTTCCTGGACAATATGACCACAGTCCTCTGTTACCTGAACCATGAGACGCTTCGATATGTGAAGATGAAGAGGGGGAGTGGAGGAGGAGGGGGTGGCATATAATATATAGCAGTAGACCTACTTCAATACTCTCCTTTAGTTATTACATGAAGGGTTTCTTACTTGCTTGGTGTGTTTCCTCCAGTAGACTGTTGCCTTAGACTCGGGACTGTTCCATTACGACGTTGGCCAACCGCTTCACTGCTCATTGTTTCGAGTCTTCGTCTACTTCGAATGTTTTATTACCTATTATTCAGAATGGGTTTGTGTTGGATATATAGAGGAATATATGAAGAGGATATATACTACGTTAATGGTAGATACTGTCTGAGCTGAACTCTTAACGGTTTACAATATTATTCATGTGAATACGAAGCAAATTTTCGAACGGATTGGAATGCACCTCGACCTGCACTACCGTCGTCTCTGCTGCTTAGATATCAAAGGGGCTCTAACCTTCATATCTTATCATACAACACTGAATGTGTAACCTGATTATGACTAACGATAATAACTGATTGACAAACATAATCCTGTCTGACCTGATTACACAAAAGACACAGTTCTGCCGTGTGTGCGTTGTCACATCGCTTTACACAGACTCGCCGTCCAGAAAGAGGTGGGGACTGGACTGGCCCACACACACACACACATGGACCCCCACGAACTTTTATGAGATATATTTTGGGAGAAATTATTTGTTAACAAGTAGAGAAAAATATATACAAATGGCAAGTTTTATATTCTTATTTATTTTTATTTCATAGTTTCTAAATTACAACTGAAAAATAAACAGATTGTGAAGCAAAAAATAAAACTATGTATATTGTATCATAGGAAAATGTTTTATGTGAAGATAAGGCACCCGAGCTTATTTCATCTTAAGAATAACCTAACCTAACCCAACTCGCCCAACCCAGCCCCCAAATAAGTGTTAGAGCATTTAATCTTCGGTAAATATCCCCAAAGGCAGAATTGTTTTTAAACTCACCTGTAACAAAAGACAGGAGACAGAAAGTGATTAATCTATATAATAAATAGTTATCATCATCCCTAAAATATACTAACGGCCACAACTCGTACTCACACCAAGATGTTATAAAATAAATTAATATCCGGTATTAAATTCATCGTGTGATCTATTATTAATTCATACACCCCTGTTTTATAGTGACCCGTACACCCCTGTTTTATAGTGACCCGTACACCCGTCTTATAGTGACACGTACACCCGTCTTATAGTGACACGTACACACCTGTCTTATAGTGACACGTACACACCTGTCTTATAGTGACCCGTACACACCTGTCTTATAGTGACACGTACACACCTGTCTTATAGTGACCCGTACACCCCTGTTATATAGTGACCCGTACACCCCTGTTTTATAGTGACACATACGTCTTATAGTGACACGTACACACCTGTCTTATAGTGACACGTACACACCTGTCTTATAGTGACCCATACACACTGTCTTATAGTGACCTGTACACACCTGTCTTATAGTGACACGTACACCCCTGTCTTATAGTGACACGTACACCCCTGTCTTATAGTGACACGTACACACCTGTCTTATAGTGACACGTACAAACCTGTCTTATAGTGACCGTACACACCTGTCTTATAGTGACCCGTACACACCTGTCTTATAGTGACACGTACACCCTGTCTTATAGTGACACGTACACCCCTTTCTTATAGTGACCCGTACACCTGTCTTATAGTGACACACCCCTGTCTTATAGTGACACGTACACCCCTGTCTTATAGTGACACGTACACCCGTCTTATAGTGACACGTACACCCCTGTTTTATAGTGACCCGTACACCCTGTATTATAGTGACCCGTACACCCCTGTATTATAGTGACCTACACCCTGTTTTATAGTGACCTACACCCGTACACCACCGTCTTATAGTGACACGTACACACCTGTCTTATAGTGACCCGTACACACCTGTCTTATAGTGACACGTACACACCTGTCTTATAGTGACCCGTACACCCCTGTTATATAGTGACCCGTACACCTGTTTTATAGTGACACGTACACCCCTGTCTTATAGTGACACGTACACACCTGTCTTATAGTGACACGTACACACCTGTCTTATAGTGACTACACACCTGTCTTATAGTGACCCGTACACACCTGTCTTATAGTGACCCGTACACACCTGTCTTATAGTGACACGTACACCCTGTCTTATAGTGACACGTACACCTGTCTATATGACACGTACACACCTGTCTTATAGTGACACGTACAAACCTGTCTTATAGTGACCCGTACACACCTGTCTTATAGTGACCCGTACACACCTATCTTATAGTGACACCACCCTGTCTTATAGTGACACGTACACCCCTTTCTTATAGTGACCCGTACACCCCTGTCTTATAATGACACATACACCTCTGTCTTATAGTGACACGTGTCTTACACGTACACCCGTCTTATAGTGACACGTACACCCCTGTTTTATAGTGACCCGTACACCCCTGTATTATAGTGACCCGTACACCCCTGTATTATAGTGACCTGTACACCCTGTCTTATAGTGACACGTACACCTGTCTTATAGTGACCCGTACACCCTTGTCTTATAGTGGCACGTACACACCTGTATAGTGACCCATACACCCGTCTTATAGTGACACGTACACGCCTTTCTTATAGTGACCCCACCCTGTCTTATAGTGACACGTACACCCGTCTTATAGTGACCCGTACACCTGTCTTATAGTGACACGTACACCGTCTTATAGTGACACGTACACACCTGTCTTATAGTGGTGTCTTATAGTGACACGTACACCTGTCTTAAAGTGACCCGTACACCCGTTTTATACTGTACACGTACACCTGTCTTATAGTGACACGTACACCTGTCTTATAGTGACACGTACACACCTGGCTTATAGTTGACACGTACACCCCTGTCTTATAGTGACCCGTACACCCTTGTTATAGTGGCACGTACACACCTGTCTTATAGTGACCCATACACCCGTCTTATAGTGACACGTACACGCCTTTCTTATAGTGACCCGTACACCCTGTCTTATAGTGTAGTGACACGTACACACCTGTCTTATAGTGACACGTACACACCTGTCTTATAGTGACCCATACCCGTCTTATAGTGACACGTACACGCCTTTCTTATAGTGACCCACCCTGTCTTATAGTGACACGTACACCCTGTCTTATAGTGACTTATAGTGACCCGTACACCCTGTCTTACACGTACACCCCAGTCTTATAGTGACACGTACACCTGTCTTATAGTGACACGTACACCCGTCTTATATTGTGTATATTGACGTACACCCCTGTTTTATAGTGACCCGTACACCCTGTATTATAGTGACCCGTACACCCCTGTCTTATAGACACGTACACCCTGTCTTATAGTGACACGTACACACCTGTCTTAAAGTGACCCGTACACCCCTGTTTTATAGTGACTCGTACACCCCTGTATTATAGTGACACGTACACCCTTATAGTGACACGTTGTCTTATAGTGACACGTATAGTGACACACTCTTATAGTGACACGTTGTCTTATAGTGACACGTACACACCTGTCTTATAGTGACCCGTACACCCTGTCTTATAGTGACACGTACACACCTGTCTTATAGTGACCCGTACACCGTCTTATAGTGACACGTACACCCGTCTTATAGTGACACGTACACGTGTCTTATAGTGACATATAGTGACACCGTCTTATAGTGACACCCCTCTTATAGTGACCCGTACACCCCTGTCTTATAGTGACACGTACACCCGTCTTATAGTGACACGTGTCTTATAGTGACACGTACCCGTACACCCCTGTCTTATAGTGACACGTACACACCTGTCTTATAGTGACACGTACATCCGTCTTATAGTGACCCGTACACCCCTGTCTTATAGTGACACGTACACCCGTCTTATAGTGACACGTACACACCTGTCTTATAGTGACACATACACCCCTGTCATATAGTGACACGTACACCCCTGCCTTATAGTGACACGTACACACCTGCCTTATAATAACACGTACACCCCTGTCTTATAGTGACACGTACACACCTGCCTTATAGTGACACGTTCACCCCTCTCTTATAGTGATACGTACACACCTGCTTTATAGTGACACGTACACCCCTGCCTTATAGTGACATGTCACCCCTGCCTTAAAGTGACATGTCACCCCTACCTCACAGTGACACATACACCTCTACCTCACAGTGACACAACAATCTTACCTCATTAATGAAGTTTTGACCGACACTGCACATGTTAATCAGCATGATTGTTGCCCCCAACAGTAAGGTAAAGGTAAAGCCTCCCTCAAAGTACCCGCGAGACAGTGTGTATATAGTTGCCACACATAATATCAGGCCCGTCACTAGTATTGTTGTCATCCCAAGGAAGAAGTAGTCAGTCAGCTTCTCTCGTGTTTCCTCGACCTAAAAGTTAAAAACAAAAAACAAAAACGGTAATAAAGTGGAAGTTATGTTGAGAAATATATGTCTCACAATGTGATATTAACCTACATGTTTGTATTTGGTATTCATGTTGGATGCACAGTAAGTATATGGTTTTATTGTTCATGTACAAAAACTATACTTTGAAAATTACATATAAAATAACTTCGTTGTTTAAGAAACTTAAATCAAGACCCATTATAAAGAATTTGTGTACAGTTTCTAATTAATCTCATTGAAGCTTTGTGATAAATTAGTTTATTTACCAACAGATGGCGCGCCTACCTGTGCATACTAATTATACACTGGTCAATGAGACAAAATGGTTCACATATGAGATCATGCTCACACAACTAATTTCATATTGCTGAATTCGAATCTGATATTTGTTTTGTTCTATCAGACCAGGTTTTATTTATCAATGTTGGGAGGACCAATCAATGGTAATGTGGTCAAGTGAGGTACACAACAACAATATGTAAGGGAGGTTATATATCTCAAAGTGTGATTGTCAATAAACTGTAACCATTCTTCCTTTACTACAATTCAACGGCGTGACATCATTTGTGTATCCTTTCTCCGGGAGCGGGGGATATTTTGACATCACTGCAGATTTGCGTGAACACAACAGCTGTTGGCGAACCGTTTGTGAATCATTCTTACGATAGTTCATGTGGACTTCAGGATCTCCCGGCAGTTGCGAACTTCTGCATTCAGCAGTGTTAGTGGAATTCTGGGGTCTGGCTACTTATTGGGAGGATACTGCTGCTTTCATTCGTTGAATGATACCAATGAGATAACATTTGCACAGGCCCCCATATCAATGTCTAGGGATAACTGATTGTTACCTATCCTCGCTGGCAGTACAGGCCAACACCTGCACCTTGTTTAACGCGGCGATTAATGAACCGGTAATGGAAGCGTTGTGTTCT